ACTAGGGCTGTGCCATATGACCAAAATCTCATATCCCGATATAAGAATTCTATCGTCCGATAACGATATAAATCACAAAAATGTAACATTTTCTGTAAATTCTGTGAAGCTCGTCTTGCATGAAGTGTTTCCAGCTGCGCGTCATGTAGCTGGAGTCGAGTGTTTTAACCGATGCATGAAACTACACATTTTTAGACATAAGTTGTAACGGCCGCCGTTTTCTTTGTGAGTATTTATTACACGGCGTGCTGCGGGGAAAAGCCTGTTCTAACGTTTGAGTCTATGGTTTATTTATTAGCACCTGGCGGCTCCTTTTTACTTCTCATCCGTAAATAAACTGCTCTTTCACGTGATTCAGTTTATTTTGAAAAGTCTCAACAGGATCTTGAGCTTTATTGTGAAAGGTTTATGTGGAACATAAACAAGCGGACAGCTATGGTGTTACCGTCGTTGTTGCTAACGACAACACATTAAAAACAGGCGCTTGTCCATCCGTAGTGTTATATTAAATATAAGAGAAAGAGAGAACTTTAAGAAATTAATATAGCCACTACAGTGACCATCAAAATGATGAAAAAATATTGCCGTAAAGTTTATTTTGCGACACCACAAAACAAACGATAGCGTCAAATGAAACGATAGCTGTTTTTATATCGTCATCCGATTTATATCGTTAAATCGAACAGCCCTAAGTAATACTGTGCAATACTGCAAAAATGTTGGTATCAAACCAGGTAAATACAGAGCCAGTAATGTCGATACCAACACTGATATAGATACTTTTAACCTACGAAAGCACCTTATGTAGGCGATAGCAGTGTGTCATGGTTGCTGAGATGATCACCATCAATTTGCAAATTGTAAACATATTTTAATGGACGGCTAAATCTCTGTGATTTTTACTTTTTTTTTTTTTTACTTCATCTTTTGGTGTATTTGAAGCAAGGTTTTTGGAGACCAGGGATGTAAAAGTGTCTGTTTCCAAAAAAGCAAATTATTTAACTAAATTCAGTGAGCTACATTCTGAACTCAGAGGATAGAAACAAAGTAACGATCTTATCGTGCTATTATCAATCCAATACCAGCACTGATACTAATCGATATTTGGATTGATCTGCCCACCTCTACATACCAGACCTTAAAATAAGCTACATACAGCCTCAGAAAACACATAGTCCTTGTTTCGTTAAGAAAAACTAAGCCAATATGCAGAAGCAGTGTGGGAAAAGCTAAGTGCCATAAGAATTAAGAGGGAAAGAAACATCCAGGTTGTGTTAATCAAATACATTTGTTTTATTAATCATGAGTAAATGTGAGGACCTCTATAAAGACAGCCATTTTGGCAGTTTGCAATGTCTGGGGCATTGGGGTGTGTGTTAAATCAATGTCTTCTTGCAAAGCCTTTGGACAGACGAGACCAAAGCTGAGATGTTTGGCAGAGGGGTGATGATTTGAGTGGTTTTTGCAATCAGAGGATCTGGGTAACTTTCAACCACTGAGGCAAAAAAAAAGAAAAAAAAAAAAAGAATAAGAATCAAGGCGTTGCAACGGCCCAGTCAAAGACCAGACCTCAACCGGATTAAAACGCTGTGGAGGGACCTGTGCAAAAATGAATGCCTGCAGCGTTGAAATCGACTAAACTTCCTCTAAAATTTTGAAGAGACTGATAAAGTCAAGATATTGCTGCTAACGTTTCTACCTGATGCAGCTGTGCACGTAGTTTTTCCACACTATGCTTCTGCATTTTGAATATGTCTTCATTAAATGAATGTGTGACGATTTTGTCTTTAAACACGTCCAAATATGTAAAAGCTTAATGAAAGAAGGGGTTTCCCGCCCCCCCCCTTCCACATGACTGTAGTAGCACAGTGTGAACATGTAAAGCGTTTACCTGCGCAGAGGAGCATTTTCTTCAATGTCCTCTAGAGTTTCAAGCGACGAGCGCTGAGAGATGAGCCTTCGTCTGGGGGGGGGGACATAGAGGGGAAGTTACATGTTACGGGATATGAAGAAATATCAATCAACATCACACCAACACTTCACAAGTTCAACAGTCAGCTTTAAGAGGAACTACTTTTTGAATAATTCTTTCCACTGTGTCAATGTTATATTTTTAGCCTGTACTCAAAAAGGTTGAATGTTTAACACCCAGTTTTAAAAACAATACGTGTGGTCAGCAGTGGCCTGGAACAAAGGTTAAACTGTGGTTTCCAATTTTAACTCGTTTCTATAAATTCTGAGATTAATTTGCAAACACCGGTTTTGGATGGTTGACTTATAACTGTCATCAGCGAACGCCACTGTGCCCCTGTGTGGTCAATGATCGCCCCCCTCACTAAGTCTTGCGTGGATCACAGCGAATTTTCCAGGATCAGAGCTGCTGAGAGGATAACGAGCTGGCTCTGCGAGCACTTTGTGTAACACATTTTGTCACAGATGGCCTTTATTTCACACTTAAGTTGCTCGACTCAACAGTCTAATTCTGCTGGATCGCTTTTATATGATCAGCTGCCAGTTTCAGAACAAACCCACATGTGACAGCTAAGAAGGTCTGAGCCGTGCCAAAATTAGGTTATAATTTCACGTTTAGCACCACAATAACAACACGATCCGGCTCCAATTAGTTGTCCTTCAAAAAAAAAAAAAAAAGTGTCTACATTTAAAGGAGTGGAAATTAACGTATTAGAGGTCAGATAAGAAAAAGCTCACACATTTTCCCAGCGGGTTATCTGTCATGACGTAGAAGACAAATCTGTAACAGTGCCACTTTGGCATTACCAAGAAAGAGGGTAAATATACTTACTACTGTATACAACGCAGGACTTTTTCCTGCAGAGAGAAATTCGTAAGCAGTCTGTGTTAATTGGGGTTTGGCTCGCTTGAGCAAACTGTCTGAATTAGCATAAAAATTAGCAAATGCAGACATTTCTGTCATTTCCAAGCTATATAGTTTATGCCTTCCATATTTCCAACTATATCCATAATCACATACTGTGTATGCTACCATTGTATATAGT